CCCCCCTGCCATGGGCAGGGACACCTTCCATAGCCCAGGTTGCTCCAAGCCTCATCCAGACTTGGACACTTCCAGGGATGGGGCATCCACACCTTTTCCGGGCAACCTGTCCCAGTGCTCCCCACCCTCTGCGGGAAGAATTTCTTCCTGATATCCAAACTAAACCTTCCCGTTTTCTATTTGGATAGAAACACGCTTCCCCGGCCTCTTCTCTGCACTAAGCAGAAAAAGGATTTTCAAAACAACTGATGAAAGGATAATTTTTCAAAGAAAACTAACAGATCCACCAAAGTTGACCGAAACACCCCTTTTTTTTATCTCGGGCGGAGGTTGAGTAAAACGTGAGAAACTTGACCCGAAGTTTTCTTGACAGGCAATTAAAAAAATAAATCACTTTGACTCTACCTGCTTGCTCGTTAAGGTGGACTAAAGCACAAGGATATTGCTATCTAATGTAAAGATGGTTTTTTTAATTATTGAAAAATGTCTGAAATAAGCTCTTTTGGGTTGGGCACGCCTGACGTACTACGGAGTCAGCGGTTCGAAGCTGGAGAGCGTCTGTTCTAGTCGACGAGTTTGAGATGGTCCAACGAGGAGTAGAGCGGGCGGAGTAACTTGGTAGTTTATTGTAAATTTAATTTCTTTGTAAAATATGTTCCCCTTGACTTTTTTTTAGAGCATTCCCTCTGTGAACGTCAACTGTGCCAATATTGGGTTTGGTTTGGGTTAATTTAGATGATACGACTCGATGTTGAACGTACGCGGAACTTGGAGAGTCTTTTCCAAACTTTATACACCACCGATGTGAGCGTATAACAGCAGGTATCCTGGATTTCCGAGGCGATGGAACAGCGTGGAAAACCTGGATATTTTCCGTAGGGGTAAAAGGGAAGCTGATGGAATACCTATTCTCCTTAGTATTCCAAACAATACACTTCAGGGTCGTAGTAGAGGGGAATTCACTGTTACTACAGGCGCGCTACCGAGTAGTCGCCGAAGTTAAGACGAGGCAAAAAAATTAAAACTTCCTTTCTTTTTCTTGCTGTAACAGTCGTTGCTCAACCAAGCCTGTCGCTTCCTCAACCCGGTCCGTCGCCGAGCGCGGAGCGAGCTTCTCCCCTGCCTAAAGCGAAGCACAAGAGATGTTTGGTTTGCAGAAAGAAGGTTGGCCTTACCGGTACGAGAGCGCTCGGTTGATGTTTGAGTAGATTTATGTGATTAGTTACCTCTGAGTAGATTAAATTGGTGTGTTTGTAGCTTTTAAACCCACTTGTCGTTTCGAAACCCGTAAGGGTAACCCACGCCGTTCGACGCTTTAACGGAGCTGATATTTGGAAATATTCGTTTCACCTATTTTACTTCTTGGAGTAGACGAACGTAATCCCTCCGCCCCGATGAATTCCTTAATTTATAACTCGCTCCAGTCAGAAACTTCCTAACGGGGTTGGGGTTGTGTTTTTTTTTTTCCCCCTTTCACGTCGCCCAGGATTTGACTGCCGCTGCGGCAACTTCTTTTGCGGACTTCACCGTTATTCCGACGAGCACGGCTGCCCCTACGATTACAAAGCGGAAGCGGCGGCAAAAATCAGGAAAGAGAATCCCGTTGTGGTGGCGGAAAAACTCCAGAGAATATAAAGTAGCGGGAAAAGATTTGATTTTTAGTTGGTTTGTTGTATTAGACCCTAAGGAAAGGGTTGAAGAGCGGATGCACGGCCGTTCGCTTTTGTTCGGCGACGTTTTCGTTTTAGCCTCGTCTTTATGAATATTTCCGGATGTTTGGGTGTTTATTCCGGGGAAAACGGCACCGCGAACGGCACTTGGAAAGGGATGCGCCATCGGAACGTGCTCGGGAGATGGGAAATTCCGCGGGAAGGCATGTGCACGGAGGGCAGGCTCGAGTTCTTGTGGCCAACGGAGAAACGAGCAGGTGGGAAACGACCTTTAAGTTTCGCCGAGTCCAACCGTCAACCTAACGCCGCTGGTACAAACACTCGACGCCGTCCCGGAACGCTCAGCCGCGACCCCCAGCGTCCTCACGCGCCGTGGGGTGGCACCTCAGGGTGAGCCACTCCTCAACCGTCCCC